ACTTGTATGAGTGTGAGTGTTGCCATGATAGCATGCTTGCCATGAGGCTATTTGCTTATATGATTAACTGCATGAATGCCTGTGGATGAAGGCTTGGTTGCTTGAATTGGGACAATTCAACGAATGTGAGTTTTAAGCCCACTTTGCGAAGTGGCAAATCATGTTTTAAAGCCCATCTTGTGAGATGGAAAATTCGCGCTTTAGCCTACTTGCGAGTAGCATTTTCAAATCACTTTCGAAAACAAACATGAGTTGATTGTTCCAAGTCTTATGACTTAGTCTGTACTTGTATGTTATGCGCATCACATAGTAAAGTTAGATTAATAATCAGATAAGAACACATGAGGTTTATAAAACAACTATGGACACCCCATTTTTGACCGACCTTAAGACTCAGACGTCATCGATTGAGCGCTTGGTGATAGTGCATGTTGTGCTCGTTCAAGTTTTCGGAGTTTTCAGCTGGGTGCCTTGCCTCCGGGCCTCTGAACTCTTTGTGCTTCGGCTCGGTTTGCGGACCAAGTCTTGTTTCCCTTCCCCGGAGGGAGGGAGTGGTTAGTAGACCACCTTTTCGTGGTTGTAGACCACTTTTCTTGCTTGGGGACTAGTTTCCAATTTTTAGAGCCTTCGGTTGCGCGCCTTGTCTCGGGACCGCTTAACGTTCTCCGTTTGGTGTGGTTTTTGGACCATACCTTGTTGCCTCTGCCTAGAGGGACACTGTTGTCCGGGAGACCACTTTTGTGGCCGTAGACCACTTTTGACTAGTTTTCGAGTCTCCCGGCCCCGCGCGTTAACTCCTGAACTTTCGTCTTGGATCCTTTTTGGTTTGTTTCTGGTACAAACCTTGTTTTCCTTGTTTGGAAGGTTGTACAAGGGTGGGAGACCAGTTCTTCTCCTTGGAGACCACTTTTCTTCCCACCAGCCAGTTTTCTGGTCGGGAAACTGGTTTTCTTGGTCTTTGGGCCACCTTTTTTGGTCGGCCACCACACCATTGGCTTGCTTTCAGTGTGTAGACTTCTCCTACCCATGGCCGACCAGTTTTCTTCTTGGGAGACCACTTGTGGTGGTTAGTCGACCACTTCAAGTAGCTGGCCGACCACTTTAAGTGGTTGGCTGCTTTTCATCACCTTTTTGGAGATATTTTCAGTACAGTTGTGCCAACTGGAAGGCACAGAAGCCATCCTCCATAGGGATGGCTTTAGGCCAAAAACTTGTCCAACAAGCTTGTTGTTTGTTCTCTATAAGAGAGAACCTCCTCCTCCCTCCTCTAGGTTCATAATTTTGTGGCTGGAGTGATAGATGCACACTTGTCTCTATATTTCCTTGTTTGCTCTTGTTTTGTGCCTAAAAGTGTAGTTTTATCACACTTTAACACACAAACACACACTCAAACACCATCCTTTTGTTGCTGTGGCACTTTAAGGTTTGTTTTGGAGTTTTTGGACTAATTTAAGCTCAAAGAAGTTGCTGGAGTTGCAGCTTTGAAGGTGTTCTACAAGGGTGAGCCTTTAATCCCTTAAACCTTGGTTTTTGCTTAAGCTTTTAGACCTATTTTCATGCTGATTTAAGCTTAACTTCCTACTACAAAAAGTTCTGTTTTTCAGTCCTTAAAATGTTTGTTTAATGTCACTTTTGTGTTAGGGGCCTTATTCTTGTGCCTTCTTTTTAAGCTATTGGGACCACCTTGTTTTGGCCTTCTCACCATTGAAACTCAGAAGAATTTCAGTGGGGGAAATGGTGTTTTGAGGTCCCAAGTAGGAGAGGGTCATCCCCTCTCCTTGTGTTTTGAATAGTTGCCATATTAGCCTCTTGTTTGAGCATGTTTGTTAAGCTTATGTTGGCCATATCTTAGTATGTATTTGGGCTTATTTCAGCATGGCATACCACTATTTTTACTTGGTTTTGTTATCTCATGCATGCCTAATACACTTGTAGTGTAAATCTTACAAACTAGTCTTGTATGCTTCATGAAGTAGCATGTCTTTCTAGCTTGTTTTGAGTCCATTTCAGCATGTTCTTGGTGTTGTTTTTCCATGTCATACCTCTATTAAGGTTTGGTTTGGTTGGCCCTTGCATGCTCCATGCACTTGTAGTGCAATTCCATGAAGTAGCCTAACGTGTACCATGCTTTAGACTGTCATTCTAGCATGATTTTAGCTTAACTCTAAGAAACTTTTGTCCATGTTTTAGCATGCTTAAGATCTAATTTTTGTTTTTTTTGGGTCATGCATGACTTGCTTTGTATAGCCATGATTCAATCTAGTTTGTTAGCTTTGTCTATCAAGTCTACTAGCATGCATTGCTTGGCCATTTTGAATGATTTGGCATCATTTGTTATCTGATTTTAGTGCATTTTTCATGGCCATACACTTGCATCTTTCACTCATTCAACGCGTTGGAGGGTTTGCCCTTTATGCCTTAACATGAGCCATTGCGTATGCATTCATGCCTAAGCTTGTGAGCTATCATTTCAATGTGTATTTGAGGTTATTTTGCCATGATATAACTCTAATTTTTGTTGGTTAAGTCATCTCATGCTTGGTCTTGATAGGTGTAGTGTAATCCACCTTATTTGCCTTGCATATTCCATGCCTTATGCCCTTCATGCTAGCTTGTTTTGGCTTCTTTCCATACATGTTTTAGTATCATTTTGACAAGTTCTATGACTGTTTTCGGTTGCCTTTTCCATATGCTTCATGTTTGGTATAGCTATAGTACAAATGCCTATGCTAGCTTCAAGCTTTGGGTACCATAGCATGCTTCATTTGTGTTGTGTACATGATTTGGCATCATTTACCATGACATTTCAGAGCATGTAGCATTGCCATGTTCCCACTTCATTCACTCTTTAAGTGCCTTTGAGTGTTATGCATTGTTGCCTTGTTTATGGCTTAGCTTATATGCATGCATGCCTAGGCCTTTGAGCCCTCATCTCAACATGTTTTGGTCTTTGTTTAAACCTATTTAAGCTGTGTCCATGATTGGTTCAATCATTTGTGCCATGTATTGCATGCCCTTTTGTGTAGTCCCTTTAATGGCTTTGTACCTTAGGCTCTCTTGCATGCTTTACTTGTGTTGTTTGAATGATTTGGCACCATTTCACACTTGATTTCAGAGCCTTTAGTGTTGTCACACTCCCGTGTTTATCATTGCTTGAGCACTCTTGAGAGTTGTGCTCTTAGGCCTAGTTGATGGGCCAATGCATGTGCATGCTTTGTTTTGCATTTCATGCCTTTGTTTTGGTGTTATGGCCACTGTTTTGGGCATGATTGAGGTCTGTCCATTTTGGTTTAAGTCCATTGAGCATGTTTTCTTTCATGTTATTTGCATGCTTGCATTGTCATGTTGTTGCATGCTTATGTTGCCTTGCTTTGTGTATGCATGCATTAGCCTTCTTTGCATGCTTATATCACATTGCATTAAGTATGCCATGTTCTTCGTATTGTGTATGCCATAATCGCATTGCATTGAATATGCCGTGTTATTCATTGCATTGAGTATGCCACGTCACGTTGCATGTTGTTGCATACTTGTCCCTTACATTGCATGTTTACATGCTTGAGTTGCATTGCAGTTGTTTGGATTAAGTGTTAATCCAAATACAAGAAACGAGGGACGTTTCATACTTGAAGTGATGAAACGTGTCTCAATTCACGGTCGTCGACCCTCTTGATCAATCATGATAGAGATCAAGGCTTTATGTGTTATGTGTGCATTCATTTCATATTGAATTGTGCAATTTGGCTTCTCGGCCATCATGCATCGAGATGCATGATTGGTGGCCCGAGGGTCGAGAACCACACTTCCTTGAGCTTATGAAATGATAGGAAAGGCGGTTGTGCACACATACCTTGCAAGTACATTGCCATGCCCTTTTTTGCTCTATGTTGCAGCAAAGTGGAGAAGTGCAGCAAAACTGGTCGGCCGACAAGAACAACTAGCTGGCCGACCACTTTTTCTGGTTTGCAGCAATAGAAAGTGGTCGGCCAGTGGCTGGAAGCATCCCTAGGTGGTCGGCCATGTTCCTACAGGTTCCCATGGTGGAGTTGAAGCTTTGTGGAGCTTGGTGCAAAGTTCTGAGAACAGTTGCAAACAGAGGCAAATTGGGGCATCGCGACGGATTTCCGAACGAGGCGACCGAGCATGAGTGCATTCTTCTCCCTCTGAGGACATTACTTTACTTCTTTACTTAGCTAATTTTCTTAGCTAGTTTATGCTTTGGTTTTGTACCTAATTAGTTAATGTGTTTAACTATTCAATTTGTGTTGTAATAGTTTAATTAATTAGCTTGTTAGTTAATTGGTTTTGTGATGTAATAATAAGTTTAATTGGCTTAGATTAGCTCTTTATTCGGACCCTCCGTCCAGAGGGCCAACTGTTTTAATAAGTGTGCGTGTGTGTGATTCATGTCTTCTGTAATGACCCCAATATGCGTATAGAAAGTCATCCTTATTTAATTAGGGGTTAATGTGTTTTAATTCAACTATATCTATCGGAATTGAAAAATTATCTGCTGAGTTATGGCGACCTTTATTGTATCGGCTTGAAATTTTTTTTTACCCTCCGCTCGAGCATGGGCTCATTTTTGACATTCTTAATAGTGTATTAGGAATGTTCTTACCTTATTTTGGGGTATTGTTTGAGGTGGTGGTATGATGGTAAAGTAAGATTGGAGCAACGAATTTAATTCGAACAGTTAACCTACGATCAGCCGTCATTCATTTGTCCTTTTCTTTTTCCACACTTGGAATTTAAATGTGAGGTTAGAACCATTGGAAAGCTTATTTCCGGGGCTTCGATTTGGACACAAGAACAACCTAGAACGGAGTTCCGATGAGAAAGTTATACCCATTTGAAGTTTTCACATCTGTACTGGAAACAGAGCCGCACGTGCGGGGAAAAGCGCCGCACGTGCGGTCGGTGCGGGACAGCAGCTCTAAAAACCGGATTTTTGGGCCATTTCTTGCAATTTCTTTTCCTCTCTTCTTCTCCCCTCTTCCATGTCCGAAACCCTAGCCCTAAATCATTGAATTCCTTTACTTTGCTCATGATCCACCATGGTTTTTGGCATCAAGGATGGAGAACAAGGGAGGATCGATGTTTTTACCCGATTAGAACTTGGATTTGTGAAGGCTTCTTCTCAAGCTCACTTCTTTGCTTGATTATTGAGGTAAGGGTTTGAATACTCTTCAATACTTATATCCATAGATAGATTTGTGACATTTTACTATCTAAATACAAAATTTCCATATTTAGAGCATGTAGTGTATAGTATGAGATTTGGGGTTTTATGGTTTGAAGATGTTGGGAGTTAATTAATGGGTTAAAATGGTGAATTATGAGTCCTAAGTGTATAATCAATGGAAAAGTTGGAATAAAAAGTGTTGGGTTAATAAGTTTGATTATGTCTTGAAATGTCCATATTTTCTTGAAACCCTAGGTTGATTAAAGATGATAACCAAAGATTTAACCCAAATTGAAAGTAGAATAATGAAATTGAGGTATTGAATTATGTATATACAAGTTTAATTGGAATTTGGTGATACTTGGAAATTATGTTTAAAATTTGCGAATGAATTTTGTTATGAGCAATGTAAATCATGTTATAATGAGAAGGAAATTGGAGGAAATAATTTATTAATGATATAGATGACATAAACTCGGTTATGGAATGTTGAAATGGAATTTAAGAATTCCTCTTCAATTATGTTAAATTATATTTAATGATGTTGAGTTGAATCATGTTGCTTATGTTGAATTGTAGTGATTATGTGAGATGGTATTGACTATGTTGACTTTGATTTTTGTGACCTAAAATGTGGAGTTTTCCAAAATGGGTTAATACCAAATTAAATACTTGTGGGCTTGCTTAGTTATTAAAATCAAGAGAATGATTTATTTTTGGAAAAATGTGGAAGATGTCCATACAATTCCTTCCTATCTTGAAATCGAGGTGATTGATTATAAATTCCATATTGTGTTTGCAAGAATGGTAATCTTCTATTTCTATATATAGATATATTGAGATGGAGGAAATTGTGGTATAATGGATGGATAATGGTAGGCATGCGAAGAATAACGAAGGAAGGAAAAAGAACTAATGACTAAGTTATATATGTGTACAGGGCACACTTCAGGAGTGCCAAGCACTCCGTTATAGCACTGTGAGTAGTAGTACTTCGATGTATCTCTAACCGTTAATGATTATTGTCATTGACGTTATGATCTTCATCATAAGAATTATGTTGACATGTATGTTATGTATGCTACGTAAATATTGTGAAATTATGGAAACATCAAAGGTGTATGCTATATGAGGAACATTGTGAAATTATGGAAACATCAAAAAGGATTTGTGAAATATACATCTCGAATTTGTGAAGTATGGATCACCAACTTGTGAAATATGAAACGATGTGGCCAAGGGCCATTTGTGAATTATGAATCTATGTGGCCAAGGGCCATTTGTGAATTGTGAATCTATGTGGCCAAGGGCCATTTGTGAAATATGAAGTTATGTGACCAAGGGCCATTTGTGAATTATGAATCTATGTGGCAAGGGCCATTTGTGAATTATGAATCTATGTGGCCAAGGGCCATTTGTGAAATATGAAGTTATGTGACCAAGGGCCATTTGTGAAGATCAAACCTATGTGGCCAAGGGCCGATTTGTGACTTATGAAGCTATGAGGCCAAGGGCCAAACTTGTGAACTTGTGAACCCAAAGGGCCGAAGGCCGATGTGATAAGTTGTGACTCTATGAAAGCCAAAGGCTATTGTGAATGTGAGAACCTCTCAGGCCAAGGGCCGAACTGTGAAATTGTGAAACCGATAAAGTCATCTGTAATCTAATGAAAATGTGCTTACTTTGTCCTATTAACTTTACGTTAATTATGTCAACTCGTGGGAATGATGCAACGGTTACCATTAGGACTCTATTAATTACAAGGCAAGGCAACTATGTTAACATATAAGAACGATTAAACAACGGCATATACTATTGATTAATAGAGCACGTGAATTAAGTCATTTACCCAAAAGAATTTATGTTCATTCTTGAAGAATAGATTCTGAGTAAATATAAGAGTAGCCATGTGTATCCATATGAATTTGAAGTTATGTTGCTATGTTGCTTATGAATTGGAAGTTATTCAGAATCTACGATATAAGTGCAAAGTTTAGCATTATTATGTGACTCTCATGAGAATGTGAATTAGTCTCTTATTGTTAAGCGTATGATAATGACATGATACAACAAGAAACGCTCCAGTTATAATATGTTCCGTTTGAATTAATGAATGATGTTCAAGTATGCTCAGGTATGTTTCAAGTATATGTTACAAGTTTGAATATACTACAAGGTCAAACAAGTTTCAAGGGCTTTATGCCAATGTTTCAAGGGCCTCGTGCCACCACATTTCAAGGGCTTATAGCCATCAAGTTTATGTTGCAAGATTGGGCCTAAGGCCGTTATGTACTTAGCACAGAATCAGACTATTACATTGACATGTATTATGTTTCAAGTTAAGCATCATTTTATTTATGTATTACTATTCACTGAGCCCGGCTCACTCTCTGTTATGTCTGTTTCTGTAGGTCAGCAACCAGGTGGTCAGTCCTAGCCAAGACGTCCGCTTTCTTTTGTCAACCTTCGTATGTCCAGGCACTGTATAAGCCATTTATTTTGTCAAGTTGTTAAGATGTTGACTTGCTTATGGGTGTCCCTCTAAGGTTGATGTATATACTTTCATGTTCATTTTTTTTGTATACGCCCAATCATGGGGCTGGCATTGTAAATGTGTATGTATATGCTCCGGGTTATAGTTGGAACTTTATCTATCCACTATAATGCATGTGATGAATGAGATCCTGGCATGTAGAAGTAGCTCAATGGAGTTTATTTGTTTCATTATTTCCATTTTTTCGTGCTTCCGATAAGGCCCCGTATGTTATGTTACCAGGTTACATGTCCGTTTCCGAATAGGTCATGCCCAAACTTTTAGGGGCGGGTTTGGGGCGTGACAGTTTTAAGGTCTAAAAACCATTCAAAATAGCTTTTGTCCAAAATGGGGTGTGAAGTTATATTTAGTGCTTCCGTTCAGGCCCCATATATATAGATATAAAACAGGTTAAGTGTCCGTTTCTGAAGTGGTCATGCCCAAACTTCTAGGGGCGGGTTTAGGGCGTGACATCTTCCAACCTCCATTTCTTTCTCCCTTTTACTTAACTGCTTACGATGGTTAGTTTTAGGGCATATTTCAATTAACATCCTTATGCATTGCATGCGTGCATCATTCATCTGTTTTGCATGCACCGGGCTAAGCTCATCATACTATCTGCATTGTATTTCAATTCCAAGTTGAATACATGTATCAAGTTGCATTTCACTTGACATCTTAGATAGCCGAACCTATCTTAGTTGCATTTTTGCATGTGTTGCATTAGACATTTTAACATGTACTAGGATCATGAATGATTTCTAACTAGTTCTCTGTTTTGGCTCGGAGTACACTGTGAGTGTTTATGCTTTAGCATATTGCATGAGATGTGTATGCTGCCATGTTTAGCATGCTTGCCATAAGGCTAACTGCATATTTGATTAACTGCTAGAATGCCTGTGGGTGAAGGTTGGGTTGCTTCAATTGGAACAATTCATTGAAATCCCCGATTTAGCCTACTTGCGAGTAGCAAACTTCAAACCATTTTCAAACAACTGAACCTGCAATGTTTTGTTCCAACTTAGGCGATCTAGTCTATACTTGTATGCTGTGCACATCACATAGTAATTCTAGGTTAATAACCGGAATAAGAACACATGTGTTTTCAAAAACAACATATCATGTTAGTAAAGGCCGATCTTTGATCGGGCGAGCGGGGGTGCTCATTGCATGACCTTCCCCTCTCATACCTAAGTTCCCGAGCCGAGGCAACTTTGGTGATGACGGACACATGGCCTTAGGCACGAGTCAGGGTTTCCTAAATTCTCCCAAAATAAAATATTTAGGTGGCGACTCTGTATCTGGAAAAGCAGTCCACGTTTGGCACTTCTTTATAAAAATCAGTTTTCGAAAACGATTTGCCGGATTTGGACTCTTTGGTGATTTATCAGTCTTGCATTGCACTTTGTGAGATTAGATTCAGAACTCTGACATGAGTCTGAACTTGTAGTAGCTAGAGAGCAAAACGAATTCGCGCCCTCGCAGCGCAGAGCCGGGGAGTTCTCGGGGTGGTTTACAGTTTCTGGCGACTCTGCTGGGGACTTGGAGAACTTGACTTGAACTCATGATATCTTGTTTTGTTTACACTTATGTATTTCTTTACATTGCATTTGCAATGGTGCGCCTAGGATACCGTGTTTGCTATATGCTATTCTAGAACGGTTTGCCGGAGGCTTGCTTGGAAAAGCGCGCCATAAGCCTGACCGGTTGCGGGCTCTACCACGACAAGAACACAAACCTCGATTTTTACCGGGGCACCCTTTTTGGCCATTCGACCTAGTGCATATCGGAATCCATAGTGACCATTCCAAGCTAGGACAGGTTGCTTACTTGATTGTAGGTTGTTTTGAAACCGCTGTGTGCATAGTGAAACCCTAACTCCTGACAAAATAGGACAGGGAAACCCTACCCCAACATAGGGGTGTTTTTGGCTCTCATTTGCTTGCTATGTGCTTTAAGAGTGTGCCTCTACAGGAATGCTTGTATCAGTTTGCAAGTCTGGGTATCAGGCCTGCGGGCATCAGTATTTGAAGAATCAGTTTTACCTGAGGGTATTAGTTTTGGGGCAGCAATTTGGGCACAGTAAACAATGTTTGAGAACGGTGTATTCAACTTACAAGTGCCAACTGTGTGTTGTCTTGCCAACTGTGTGTTGTCTTTATTTAAGCCGTTACGCTGTCCGTTTTTCTGTTCATTGTTTCCTTATTATGCTTTATTTATCTTTTTGCAAGGTAGTTTAGCACAATTGCATCTGACCAGACAGATATTCCCCAAGCACTCTGGGTTAGAGGTCGTAGACTTCATCGATCCGAGGATCTGATAGACGGACAACCAGTGTACCACTCATTACCCCCGGTTATTAGATGGAGATCAGCTAGGCGCAGTGCATCGCTACAGCGGTTACCAGATCAGTGGTCCTTGAGTAGTCGGGTTGAGATTTCCGAGTCTACTGCAGAGATAGATATACCGGTTATTCAGTTAGACTAGCACCTTATGGCAGGTATGGAAGAGTTGATGCGTCAACTCTAGGAGAGTATGCAAGCCATGCAGCAGGATACTGCCCGTCAGGTAGAAGTGGTTGTATGATAAGCAAAAGTAGTGGCCCAACAGGCAGAGTTAATCGCCAGGCTACAGCAGCAAACCGGAGCATTTGCTTCGCACCCAGCTCCTCCCCTACCAAGAGTTCCAATACACGGGGAGACCGTCAACGTCCAGGAAAATACGGATGTTCCAACGGGGCCGGCTCCGCCTCCAATCCTACCCCAGTTATCCAAACCGCCCACCAATCTAGTGGATTCACCGTTTGAATTTGAGGTGGATCCAACAGCGCTAAAAGTGAGCAAGCTAGAAAAGCTTTTCAAGAAGGCTCAAGGCGTGAAATCCATTCCGAATATAGAGGATGAATATACCGACTCGGGCGTGACTCTGCCACACCGATTTAAAATGCCACATATTGACCGCTTCGACGGTTCTGGAGATCCAATGGTGCACCTGCGGCTGTTTTCGGATATCCTAAGGCCAATGGGCCTCTCTAGATTACAGAAGCTTTCCCTGTTTTGCCGGACCCTGTCGAGTGCAATGGCTATTTGGTACGCGAAGCTAAAGGACTCTGTCAAGAGAAGCTAGGAAGAGATGGCTGAGGCCTTCATAGCTCAATACTCCTACAACATGCAGATCGAGCTGACAACTCGTGATCTCGAGACAACCAGGCAAGAGCTAAAGGAGAGCTTCTTTGATTTTGTAACCCATTGGAGGGTAAAGCCTCGATGAGGACCATCAGGCCGATTGACAAAGACCATATACGGATGGTTGTGCGCAACCTCCAGCCCAAGCTCATACAAAAGATGATCGTCCTTCCCTACCCACCTTTGCAGATTTACATGAGATCGAGGTGCAGATCGAGGACACCATGAAACAAGGTCCGATTGACCATGAGAGAGAGTAGCCCAAGAGGGTATTCAACTGTAGTACGAATGCAGGCACAAGCAGTGCTGCAGCTGCCCGAACTTCAGATGTCGGAATGGTCACCACCACCACTCCAAAAACCCTTGCAGCTACATCCTTTACCGGTGCATCCGGAAGTAGCTCGCAAACAGCCAAGTATGCACCCCGAGGCCAAAGAACCTTCACCCCACTATACATGCCTTTGTCCAAAGCTTTGGGGTTTTGATCAAGAAAGGGCACTTGAAGCCCCTAGAGCCGCGACCCTTACTAGAAAAGCTTCCTCCCTCCCATAACCCAGCGAAGTACTGCGCCTTTCACCCCCAGCATGGTCATGAAACCGACCAGTGCTTTCGATTGCGTCATGAGATTCAGGATCTCATCGACAACAGGGTGATCGTGCCTCCGGAGAAGCCGAATGTCACAACCAACCCTCTCCCACCACATTATGGACACGCCCTCGGGCTTTTGTGTTTCCACAGTTCGGACTCAAATGTCACGGTTCCAAATCTAATCCCGCAAAGTGCTATGCGAGACCGATAAATCACCAAAGAGTCCAAATCCGACAAATCGTTTTGGAAAACTAATTTTTAAGAAAGAAGTGCCAAACATGGACTGCTTTTCCAGATACAAAGTCGCCACCTAAATATTTGTTTTGGGGGAATTTAGGAAACCCTGACTCGTTGCCTAAGGCCACATGTCCATCATCACCAAAGTTGCCTCGGCTCGGGAACTTGGGTACGATTGGGGAAGGTCAGCTATGAGCACCCCCACTCGTCCGATCTGAAGATCGGCCTGTACTAAGCATGATATCGAGTTTTGAAAACATATGTGTTCTTATTCCGGTTAATTAGCTAATCTTACTATGTGATGCGCACAACACACAAGTATAGACTAGGTCGCCTAATTTGGAACAAAACATCGCATATTTGTTGTTTAAAAAACGGTTGAAGTTTGCTACTCGTAAGTAGGCTAAAAACACGAGTTTCGACGAATTATTCCAATTCAAGCAACCCAACCTTCACCCACAGGCATTCAGGCAGTTATATCACATAAGCAATTAGCCTCATGGCAAGCATGCTGTCATGTTAACACTTACACACATGCAAGATGCTAAAGCGTAAACACTCACAGTGTACTCCGAGCCAAAACAAGGAACATGTTAGTAATCAAATGTATGATCCAAGTCCATGTTAAGATGGCTAATGCATTGCAGGCAAAATGCAACTAGAATAGGCTCGGCTAATCTAAAGTGGCATATTAGATGCGACAATTCGATACATGTATTCGAGTTGGAATTTAAATACAATGCAGTTAGTATGATGCGCCGAGCCCAGTGCATGCAATACAGATGAATGATGCAAACATGCATAGCATAAGGATGCTAATTGAAACGTGCCCTAGAACTAACTATTGTAAGCGGTTAAGTAAAAGGGAGAAAGAAGTGGAGGTTAGAAGACATGCATCACACGCACGCACACTTATTACACAATTGCGTCCTCTCGACGGAGGGGCCGAAAGAATAATACAAATGAATTAACTAACAAGCTAATTAAATATTACACAACATCTAACTACTTTAACAAATTAATTAAACTACGAAAGCAGTAAAGAGGCCTCAGGGAGAGGGATGAAGGCGTGCACGCTCGGCTTCGCTCAGAAATCCATCGCCATGTCATGTTGCCTCCGTTTACACTGATCTGTACTTCTGAAAACTTCACAAATCCCAAGGAAGCTTCAGAATCACTCCCTG